CCTAAACCAAAAACCCTATCGACCTAAACCCTATCAATTACTGCACCAAATTTGAACTTGTGAGATACGCTTGCTCGACAAATATTTGAGATGCAAGTCTTGTCAAAATAAAGTTTGCGAAAACATACTGATATGAATATTAAGTGCTTACCGTGGTTCCACATGAACCGCCGAGGAATACATCATACATAGGCACGGTAGATAAAGGAGCCTCTTCAGCATGGACAGTACCCGAAACGCGACTGTAATCGCTTCGCATACTCCTGAAATTCGAAAATATTCAGTAGTGAAAAATACAATTTATCTGGAAAAATTTGGATTTGTCAATGAGCTTCTTTCGTCATCAGACTTTGTCATGAACAACGTAAAAACTTCTTGAGATTTGTTGATAAAGTGAAGGCACTGCACTCAACACGCTTATATAGCAGCTAAAGTATCATGAGTTTCATTTTTGGATAAACTAGCAATGAAAGCTATATGCCCCAATGTTTTGCTAAATTTTTGACACCCTGCAATAGCTAGAACTCAATATGTTGTATGCCGAATGAACTCAAGCAAATTTACTCAACGTGCGGGGTCAAAAAGAAAAGAATAGAGTAGTTATGCAGCTGTACTACTGGATATGTGTTATGTGACGCGTTAGCATTTCTATTAACACCAAAGCAAATTTAGCATTATTTAATCATCTGTAAATGTGCTTAATCACGCAATTCTCTACAAGTGACGTGATCATAGATTATTAGAGAGGCTGCAAGCATGGTCATTAATTAGATGAATGCCACTACATATAGTATGATCTTTGCTGCAAGTGTCAACTGACGTATACGACGTATTTAGTATATTTTGTAGCGCAAACTACATTTCCTTGTTCTCTTCGAGCTTAAATGCACGTTTTAGCTATTAGCCTACGATATCTACACATGTTTGAGCCAAATTTTGACGAGGAACTCAAAAAATTTGTAATGTAAGTAGGTATAACAAACTACATATGAGTATGCATGATGCAGAACATTTCCTAGCGAACGAAATTTCCTAAAAATAAAGCCGCTTTTCTGTCGATTTGGAACTAGCCGAATAAAAACTCTCCGGTTTGGTGTCTTTAGCCAGTCTTCGTACTCATGTCTCGCTTATATGTACACCTTACGAAACCTCAGTAAGAACTTCTTAAATCTCTGTTAAAGATTACCAAGGTACGTACTTTGAGGCATATGACGCAAAATGAAGTAATTATGTGGCCATTACAATTCAATGGCGCAAA